CCGGCGCCGCCGCCGCCGCAGCCACACCTCCCGAATCCCCGCTCCGCGCTCAGGTGCAGGGCTGGCTCGGTGTCACCCCAGGCTCCCCCGGGGAAGTCCCCGGGCGGCCGGGAGCGGATCAGGGGCTCGTTTTGACCGCGACACATCCTGACTTCAGCGCGGCGGCGGCGGCGGGGGGCGCTCCGGGGCTCCCCGCCCCCCGCCCGGCTGAAGCCCAGGCCCGGCTCGGACGCACTACCCGCCCGCGTCCACACCGCCACTCCTGAAGCCACGCGGGTGCCGGGAAGGAGGTGCTGTCAGAGACCGTCTCCAGGAAGGGCACGGCGAGTCGCCCCGCGCTGGGCAGTGGGCAGCCGTGGGGGGCAGGGCCCGCTCGCGGCCCCCCTGCAGGTATCCCAACACGGAGACACTTCCGAACTTGGGCATCGTCCAGGCCCGTTACTAGACACACGGAGAAGGAGCACACGCACGCGCACACACAGGCGTGTACTCGGGGTGTCCTCTCATTCTTTACAATCGGAATATATTCTTTATACCACATCTTCCCCCAAATATATTCACACGTGACCCCAAGGGCAGCCTGACTGCAGTAGTAGTGCTCCTGGTCTGTGAACACCCTCCACGGATAAGTAACACCTCTCCTTTCACATAAACCAGCACCTGAAGAACACTTTAACCTGTGGTATGTTTTAAACACACCAAGCCCTGGCCACAGGCATGCAGACTGGCACACATAGTGTCAGGCCCCAACTTTCACACACACCGTGACTGCTGACACATGGCACCCTGCCACTGTGTTATAACCCAAAGAACAAAGCCTGTGGGGTATGCAGGGACTTAGCCCAGGGCCCACCTTCCTGAGACCCTCACACCGTGCCCTCCCACAGCCTTGACCATCGGCATACCCCGGCTTTCACAGCATTTCAACCTGTGACATTTGGCCGGGCCCTTCAACATGACGGAGCACCAGGACCGAGGGCGTTCCTACTGACTCCCAGACACCCAGCCCAGCGCTAGGAGACACACTCCTTCCTCAGTTGTTTCCTGGCTTCAAACTTTCCAAAGGAGGCAGCATCTGGTGGTCTTTGCAGGACTTACTCCCCGGAAAATAAACAACCCACACACATACACAAAATGACTTTTTAAAAACGTTGTGGGGCTTGAACCCAGGGCCTCACACATGCTAGGCAAGCTCTCAACCACTGGACGGCACTCCCAGCCTCCCTCAAATACCTTAACTTGAATGTATCAGTGAGACAGGCCGGCCTGGGGTTGAAACTCTGGGCTTCTAACACCACTAGAGGTAAACCCAGCCGGGGGCACTGCAGCCATTCCTGCGCCCTTCCCCCTCCAGGCCATAGATGACCGTCCAGGAGGCGGGAGGGGGTGTGCTCTGGTTTCTGTCTTCAGCTCAGAGCTCAAAGCCTCACCCAGTCTGTCTGCTGGGGGTGGGGGAGCCAGAAGGACACCCCTTCTCGTTGTAGGGAAGGCACCTAAGTGGAAAGATGTGTCCAGGCTCCGGCATATCGTTCCTCAACAAGCTCTCTCCTAGTTCCCTCTCTCCAGCAAGTGGGCTCCTGCTCCCCCAGGCCTGACCACACCCCCCAGGGCAGAGGAGGTCCAGCCAAAGGAACAAGTCTGAGAAGGCCTTAAACTGGGCACTGGGGGAGAATGACAAGGGTGGTGGAGACTTGGAGGAAGACTCCTGGAGGTGGGGACTCAGGACAGCAGCTGGCCCAGCACACAGGATGAGGTACCAGCACTGCTCCCTGCCCGGGCCCCTGACCCAGGCCTCCAGTGTGCCTGCCCCCCTTCCTTTGTCTGTGCCCGGCCTCCCGTTGGCCTGGCGCTCTGCCATCCTCCTCTCCTGGCTCCCAGCCGCCACCACTGCTGCCTCCTCCCCTCCCCTCCTCCCAGCCTTAACCCTTCTGAGCCACATGCTGCCCCAGACAGGCCACAGCCCCTCAGCTTCATGCCCAGGAAGATGCCCTACAGGGGCCTTGTCCCTGCTTCTGGCCGTTTCAGCCCTTCCTGTTTCCCACGCGGGAGCGCTAAGGGAGCTGGGGGTGTGCATGCATGTGTATCCTGTGGTGTTTCCGTGTGTGCATGTGTGTCGGTCTGCGTGTGCTCTGGCTTCCCTCAGTCACATGTGTGGGGCATGTGCTGTCTCTGCTGGGCTGGGGGAGGAGGAGGAGCCCGGAGACAGCAGAGCACAAAGGAGAGACTCAGACAGACAAGCAGGCGGGCGGGCAGGCAGGCGGGCAGGCAGGCGGGCAGGCAGGCGGGCGGGCAGGCGGCAGGCGGCCTGCCAGGGCGCCTGGGCCCTCACCCCAGGGCTGCTCAAGGTGACGCTGGGGGGTCTATGGGCCTGGAGTGCTACACGCTGCCATGATGCCCTTGTGTTTAAGTGTGCTCTTACTCACTCATGCAATCCTGGTCCCCTCTCACCGGCTCCCACCATTCCCACCTTGGCCACTCAAGCCCCTCCCCGTGTGGTTCTCCTTGAAGCCTAACCTCCATTCATCGTCTGTGGCACCAATCTGTAAGACCTCTTCACAACCAGGAAAGAGACGCCCTATTCCTAGCCATCTTTTTGCCCCTCCTTCAGTCAGGCTGGTAGGCACACAAAAGGAACAGGCCTTTGGCGCTTGTGGAAGTTGTCCCCCTCCACAAACACATCCTAGGCACAGGGTCCCCAAGTTACTCAGAGAGAATGAGGGGGAACCTCCTACCAGACCCAGGCACCCTGCCCAATTTTGGGGCTAACCTTCCATCCATCTCCTGCCGGCCAGCCCCGCTACCTACATCCTCTACCTACTACTTGTAGGAATGCAGAGTGAAAATTTAAGACTAGGGGCCGGGTGTGATGGTGCATGTCTGTAATCCTAGCTACTTAGGAGGCTGAGGGAGGAGGATCACAAGCTGCAAGGCCAGCCTGTGCAATTTAGTGAGGCCCTCTCTCAAAAGGGGGCTGGTTATATGTAGTGCTAGCATGCAAGAGGCCCTGGGTTCAATATCCAATACCAGGGGGTGAAATTTAGACTCAGCCCTGCAGCTGGTTCAAGGCCTTAGTTTCTGTCCTGCTCATATGTAGTGATGGAGGATCAGGATCCTGAGGTGAGCTCAGAGTGTGGATGGATTGAACTGGAGTAATAAGCATGGAGAAAATACACACACACATAAACACGACATACCGAGCTGGTAGGAGGGGGATGATGGAGCCGGACAGGATTCCAGCTTGGCAAGCTCTTCCCTCCTCTCCCCTACCCTCTGTGGCAGGAGCCAGGGGTTCCCACACCCAGATACTCCAGTACCCTCAGGCTATCCCAGCCTGCCCTCTGGGCCCTGTGCCCCTACAGTCCTTCAGTATCAGCCTCAGCAGGCACTTGAATGATATGCTCACTCCAGCCCAGCTTGGCTGGGGTCACATGACTTCTAAGGAAGCTTCCCCACTGGCAGCTTCCCTTAGGGATTGCCTGTGTGTGTGTTGGGGGGTCCAGTTGGCAAAGGAACAGAACCAGACTAGATCAGGCACGTTGACTTCCTAGAGAAAGCTGACCCTAGCCTGGGACAAGAAGGCCACTCTGAGGATCCAGGGTCCTAGGGAAGGGGTAGACAGTGTTCTGAGGCCCTCTGCAGACTGCCTCTCTCTCCAGTCACATGATTCTTCACTCTTCCTGGCAGTTGAGCCAGAGCCTACTCTCCCAGCCCAGAAAAAGAACTCAGACCCACGATGTCCCTGGAAGATCTGACATGAGCTTGGGGGAGGCAGTGATCTGAACCTGGGTCCTGTCATGTACTTTACAGAGGTCAAGCGTTGCTTCCCATAAGTCAGCTCTGCAGGTCATTGATTTCCCTAGCCTGCCTGGGGCTGACACCTTCTTCCCAAGGCAGAGACGCCAGACCCACGGGCTCAATTATAGGGCATCCCTAAGGAGTACCTCTTGTCTCTCGGGAGGGCCAACCTTCCCTGGCAACAGGCAGGAAAGGTGGGGGGGACAAGATGAGCCTCAATCAATCCCATCCCCCTAACAGTATCCTCAGGAACTACTCGAGGTGGGGTGTCACAGGGTAAGAGGCAATAAGCAGCAGGAATGGGGGGGAACGCAAACCAGCCAATCACAACTCTATGATGACCCGAGGGGGGGGGTCAAAAGTCCAGAGTCACTTCTGATTGGTTAACACCCTGGAATTCTGGGAATTTCAGTCCCCCCCCACCCCTCTCCAATTAGCCCCCCCAAGCTACCCCCAGCGCCCCCTCTCCGCACCTCTGGCTTGCTGCTGCGCATTTACCCAGTGGAGAAGGCCCTCCCCGGACCAAGCCCCGCTGACCCCTCGCGGCTCCCGTCCTCCCAAGCCCTCGACGCCCCCTCCCCCCGGGGGCGAGGGGTCCCTGGGGAAGGCCGGGCTCACAACCGCGCGCCCCACTCACCGGGACAGGCACAGCCCACTGACATCTTCACATCGCCCGCCGCTGAGGGCCCAGCCGAGTCACGGAGCCCGCCCCTCGCGAGGACAGGCCGGGCATGAGCC